ATCCTCTTGCAAAGTAAACAGCTGTGGGATAAAACATTTCTACAATATTACAAGAGTGTGATCTACAAGAGAAAATTTGAAAACTGAGAAGAAAGAAGCACACTCGCCATGGATCTCAGAGAAAATAAATCAGACCCAGAGTTTCTTATGAACAGTGGTGGAGATCAGAAATATCAGATTTCATCATACAATCTACTCAAATCAATCCTCAATAATTCTTGTTACTATGGCTTGTTCTTTCATAGCTTTTTTTTTTGCTCTATCAGCCACTATTCCCATTTAGAAAACTGTTATCACAGCCTAGTACTTGGGAGTGAGGGGAATAAAATTAAAGTGGCTAGAACTGTAACGTAAAGCAGGCAATGCCATTCAAATGCATGGACAAAACCAGAATTTTCTTGGATTCAGCAGTTATGAGAGAGGAATGAAGTTTTTTAAAAAAGAATTTTACATTTACCCTGTTAATATTTTCCTGCCTTAGGTATAGCAGGGAACTGTAGCATCACTTTCAAAGAGAGGTGCGGAGAAGTCACAAAATAAGTCCAAGGGCCTCTGGAAATACTGATCAACACGTATAAAACATTCTTTCTGAATGTTTTTTTTTTTTTGGTCTTATCATAGTTTGTATAAAGTCTGATTAAGGCCAGCCACGTAGGGTTGCTCAACAATGATATAGGTAGCATATACTGTAAGTAAGTAAGTAAGTAAGTAAGTAAGTAAGTAAGTAAGCAAGCAAGCAAGTAAGTAAGCAAGTAATAATGTTTATTCAAATCTTCAAATTTTAAACTTCCATGAAGGTATCTCATGGCATCTTGAATGTTTGCAACAACTTTATTTTAAATTCAATATTTTATCTTCAACTTCTGAAGAAATTCTCTATTTTAATAATAGGTAGCTTGCCTACATCTTGTTCTTTTAAAAGATTAACCCACTATCTGAGACTGTCCAGTCCAAATCAACAATGAAACTAGGAAGGGTGTAAGTTTAATAATGTAGAAGATGCTTATTTGGGATTTATTACAATGATCAGTCAAGATTCTTTATCATATTCCAGTAATCATTTAAATTATTGTTGTGCAGAAAAATTATCTTGTTTACCAGTTCTGATCCAATTTAATATAAGAGAACATGTTTGAGAAATTATCTTAAAGCGTTGTTGTATCAAGGTTCCCTTAGCACTATGACCTGAGTTTCCATTTACATAAATTATAAATTTGGGCCAAGGAGATCATATACGTACTCTCCCATTTACTGGGTCATCTTTCCTCCAACTCCCCCAATTCCCTTGATTTCCTACATTTCAATTAAATTCAAAAAGAAGACTTATTTATTTATTCTATTAATTTATTAAATTTATATGCCACCTATCTCATTGTCCCTGACAATCCCTGATACCGTCACTGATTTAAGTAAACTCCTCCTCCTCCTCCTCCTCCTCCTCCTCCTCCTCCTCCTCCTGTTGCTGCTGTTTCCAGGAGCAGTGATACTAGAGGACTTCTGCTTTGAAAAAAATAATGCAGAATTTCTCCTTCACTAAAAAAAACCTCAGAGAAATCAAATATTTGATTTCTTTCCTCCAAATCAAAGGAAGCTCCTTTCATTGTCTCCATCCAGAATTTGAAATTCACTCTTTCTGTCTTTTCCTACCTTGTGAAAACCTAAGAAATGTGGCAACTTCTAATTTTTCTGAAAGCTATGATTTAATGTCTTGTTTTAATCTTTGCTGCTGTTAACTTTTGTAGTTTTCTTTTTAAAAGGGTATGGTTATGATAATGTGATGTTTGAATTCAGTCTTTCATTGCCTTCAAAATGAATGAATAAAGGAATAGGCTGCAGTGGAATTCTGTCTCTGATAACTGGTAATTTCATTTTGCTGGCAATGCTTCTCTCCCTCACCAAAGTGAAATATAAGCTCTGAGGGCACTTTCTTAACCATGGAGACTGACGTGACTGAAAAAGCATAGGAAAGCACCATTTTCTGATGAGAATTTATCTCATAAACTACTTATAGCCGTGTTTACATGTTCCCTACAGCCAGCTGCTCTACTATGCCCCTGAGCACTCGTTCCTGCCTTAGAAATAATTGTGGAATACAGTCAACATCTTACCTATCCTGAGCCATAAAATTAGATGAACTGAGCTGAGGGCTGATTCACATTGTCAGCTTGGTTGAAGCCTGCTGGTCATTTCCTGAGGGGAATGACACATATTGTCCACTTGGTGGGCAACCTCTCCTGCTCATTTTCTACCATGTGTCAAAAGTGTTATGCAAAAGTGTTATGTGAAATTTGTCCAGCTTTGTTTCTTTGCAAGAAGTTGGTTGATTATAGTGCCTAGAATAGAGGCAATAGAGATAGGATAGAGGTCAGAAATGAGACAGCAAAGATTATGACAAAGTCATTTCCACCAGCTCAAGGATTGTAAATTGTAGAGGAATAGATGATGGGGAAAGGCTTTGTGCCTCATCCTTACTTCACTACCCAAAGTTTTATTAAGAGTAAAATTGTTTTGACTTTTTTAGAAGGCAAGGAGACAGCTAGGCTAAACATTTAATACATGGAAGGAAATTATGGCCAATAAGAAGCAGCACTTATAAAATAGGTGGTTATTAAGCCAAGAAGCAGAAAAGAAAGTAAACCTTGTTTATTGTTTGTTGTAATTGGAGAGCCATGGTACCTTCAGAAAATGGTATACCTTGCAGGAATGCTGTTAGAATTGTGCATGTTTAAAGAAACTATTTATTTACTGTTCTTGAGAAGCAACTGTTAGAAATAGCACTCAGTTTCAACAGTAGCACAGTGCTGTACAAATAAAGTGGGTTAGAAGGAAGGTGGAGAGGGAAATTCTTATCTAACTAGGAGCCACTTGTTAAGAGAGTATTGAAGTAAGCATAAAAATCCACACCCAACACATAGTCATTTCTTTGCTGGAAATTTGTGTTACTACAAATTTCTTTTGCTGACTAGCCAAAGGGCAATCTGCAGCTGTGAATTTCTGCCCCCACTTATCTTATTTGATAGAAGATTTCATGGAAGCCATGCCAAACCACATTGTTATTAACAATTTGCCAGATTACTCCCTTCCAGGCAATGCTCCTTGCAAAATACTTTATCTAATCCTGGAACTCTTCAGCTTTTATTTAACTTTGCATAGTAAGTGGGCTCCTGAAAGATTTTTCAGATTTCTATTTTAGGCACTTATTTTACAATTTGTCCTGTTTAATACTCTGTGCATAAATTTTTGATAATAATAACTTGGGAAAGACTTGATAGGTGGATAAAAATGCCAAATCCCATATAAACATCTGGGTAACAAGCCAATAATAATGTAAAATTGTGATACTAAAAGAACAAGAAAAAGGGGAGTTGACTCTACCTCACTCACACTATTTTTGCCCATCTTTTTCTCCAAAGAACCAATGAACTATCTGTAGCCCTTAACTGCTCACACATCATCAGGGTTGCCTGTGGGGCATAATAAAAAAAGTCAAAATGATGGCTGATTGCCACATTAGTTCAATCAAATCTCCAATTATTTGTATATGCTTTTTGAGATAAACATTTAAAAGTGAGTAGAGATTTTATTTCACCAATCCCTCTGCCTCCTTGATTTTTTTGCTATACCCTACAGACACCCCAGTCATCACTAGACATTTTCTCAGTATCCTTGTCACATTTAGCTTTCTTTTTTTAACCTGAGATTTTAACTTTTGTATTTTGGCAAATCATCAAGGCTTAATGCGTTCATAAAGATCTTCCTTTTCATGATGCCATTTTCTCTCCCTGAGCATCGGTACTGACACTAGAATGTAAGCAGTAGTAGGAATCATATTGCTCCAGAATCCATGAAACAGACAGAAGCTTGAGCAATTAGTAGGTTGTCAATTGCACGCTTTGTTCTAAAAGTATGTCAAGCTGGTTTTGGGGTGGGTGGGTTTGAGTCTAAGAAACAAAGGCAGTTATGGTTGGTTGATACTTTTCAGTGTGTTGTTGTGAGTGTGACCCAAATTTCAGCTCAAAATTTACCTTCCATCTAGGCTAGCTGCAGAATTGTCCAATCTAAGGGGTTTCCAGACCAATCGACCTTTAACCCACTTCTCTGGCTATTGCTATTTGGACAGAGAGGAATTTTATTCATATAAACTTGAATATAAATTTATCAAATTTGTAACAGACTGTTTGAAGTATATCTTTTCTTTAAAAAACTGCAATATGTTTGCTATTTTTAAATGAATTTTGAAGAAGCAGAATAGGAAACATACAGAAGACTTCTAAGAATACTATAGAATGGAATGGAATAGAATGGAATGGAATGGAATGGAATGGAATAGAATAGAATAGAATAGAATAGAATAGAATAGAATAGAATAGAATTCTTTATTGGCCAAGTGTAACTAGGCACACAAGGAATTTGTCCTTGTGCATATGCTCTCAATGAACATAAAAGAAAATATACATTCATCAAGAGTTAAGAATCATAACGTACAACACTTAATAATAGTCATAGAGTACAATAAGCAATCAAATCATACTAGGAAACAATCAGTGTAAATCGTAAGGATACAAGCGACAAAATTACAAAGTCATACAGTCACAAGTGGGAGGGGATGGGTGATAAGGAGTGATGAGAAGATTAATAGTAATAGTAATACAGACTTCGTAAATAGTTGTACAGTGTTGAGGGAATTATTTGTTTACCAGAGTGATGGCATTTGTGAAAAAACTGTCCTTATGTCTAGTTGTTCTTGTGTGCAGTGCCCTGTAGTGTTGTTCTGAGGGTAGGAGTTGAAACAGTTTATAACCACGATGTGAGGGGTCTGTAAATATTTTCACAGCCCTCTTTTTGACTTGTGCAGTATACAGGTCTTTGATTGAAGGCAGGTTGGTGGTAGTTGTTTTTTCTGCAGTCCTAATTATCTTCTGAAGTCTCTGTCTGTCCTGTTGGGTTGCAGACCAACCAGACAGTTATAGAGGTGCAGATGACAGACTCAATAATTCCTCTGTAGAACTGTATCAGCAGCTCCTTGGGCAGTTTGAGCTTTCTGAGTTGGTGCAGAAAGAACGTTCTTTGTTGTGCTTTCTTTGATGACGTTTTTGATGTTAGGTGTCTATTTTAGGTCTTCTGATATGGTAGAACCTAGAAATCTGAAGGTTTCTACTGTTGATACTATGTTGTCTAGTATTGTAAGAGGTGGTAGTATGGGTGGGTTTCTCCTAAAATCTACCACCATTTCTACAGTTTTGAGTGTGTTCAGTTCCAGATTGTTCTGGTTATACCATGAGGCAATTTGTACAACCTCATGTCTGTATGTGGATTTGTCGTTGTCTCGAATGAGACCAATCACTGTTGTATCATCTGCAAACTTCAGTATTTTAACAGATGGATCATTTGAGATGCGGTCATTGGTATGTAGGGAGAAGAGGAGAGGAGAAAGCATACCGCCTTGGGGGCCCCTGTACTAATTGTACAGGTATCAGATGTAGACAGCCAAGAAATAAAATACAAATGGATCATACCCAGTTTTTTTTCTAGAACAGATTATTAGACTCATGTTATCCTACTTCAGACACATTATGTGAAGATCTAACTCTTTGGAGAAACTTCTAATGTTGGGAAAGGTATAAGGAAGAGAAGAACACGACCAGCAGCAAAGTGATAAATGCACATTTGGAAGAGCTGAAAGCTTAGGAACCCATCTTCATAGAGAAAATCTTTTGATGTGGTTGCTAAGAGTTGAGAATGATTTGATGGTACATAAACAATCAATCAATCACACTAGTTAAAAATCCAAACATAAAGTAATGCACAAAATGCATTATGAAAAATAAAAGTAATGCAAAACTGGCAACAAAAATGCATATGTGCAAACATACATATTTAGACTTGCAGATAAGCCAAGAATGGGTTCAGTTTATCTGTGATCCAGAGTTCATTTTTTAAAAAAAGCCTGACATGGTCTAGGAAAGAGAAGGACCAGGGGAGACATGATAGCAAAAATATCTGAAATATCTTCCAATATTTGAGGGGCTGCCACAGGGAGGAAGGAGTCAAGCTATTTTCTAAAGCTCCTGAAGGCCAGACAAGGAATAATGGATGGAAACTGAACAAGGAGAGATTTAACCTGGAAATAAGGAGAAACTTTCTGACAGTGAGAACAATCAACCAATGGAACAGCTTGCCCTCGGAAGTTGTGGGAGCGTCATCACTTGAGACTTTCAAGAAGAGCTTGGACTGCCATTTGTCAGAAATGGTGTAGGGTCTCCCGCTTGGGCAGGGGGTTGGACTAGATGACCTACAAGGTCCCTTCCAACTCTGATTATCTGTCTCTGTACTTATTAAAAAGTGATCTGGCCTTAAAATTGTTCAGTTTCCAGTTTCTTCCTATCCCTCTAGTTAAAAATTCAAGGGTTGTCTTACCCCATGATGATACCTTTTTCATGGTATTTTAATTGAAATTTTCAGGATTATTTTCCTGAGTATGGGTTTATTAATAATTATTTTATTTTTATTTATTTATTTGATTTGTCAATTGCTTACAAAATAATAAGTATAAGTATAAACATGAGTAAGAATACAGCAAAAAGGTACGATTAAATGGGGACAATAGGACAGGGATGGGAGGCACACTGGTGCACTTATGCACGCCCCTTATATATGATAGTTTAATATGAATTTTAAAAGCAATCCCTGATTAACTTAATAGACTGGCAGAAATTTGAAATTTTGCAGATTCTTAAATAGGAAAATAGAAAGAAATGGAACCATTTTGCCCTTCCTTAGATGGTTCCCAACCCTGTCAGTGAATTACCTTTTTAAACAAACAAATAAAAGCGGGGGAAAAACCACCTTTGTCTATTCTTTACTCCATCTGTTCCCTGTAGTCCCTGCCTTTTTAATCTCCTTGCTTGCCAGCCATTCAGGTTGTAGTAACACCCACAGTGTTTTTCTTAACCTAGCACAAACTGTCACTATCAATCACTTCTTTGAGTCACATTGTCAATGAAACCCCTGAAGTGGTGAGAGACTGAAACTCTGACCTTGCAAAGCCTTTTGGCATGAGTCAGTTAATGTCCCTGATTGCTATCCTAAGCTGGGGAAGTACATCTATACACTACTAAAACACTACACTTCTGTTTAGCTGTTTGAAATGGTGCATTATACTGCAACATTAAAATTAAGGGATCTAAAAATCCTTAACTTAAAGAACGGCTAAAAAACCCAGGATCCGTAACCTATGGGATTGAAAATTCCATGATATTCAGACAGTTTTATTTGCAAAGTTGTGGCTGTTGTAATGTTCCTTTGAGAAAGTCATTCCCATTCCCACTGCTTTTTTGCCTATGTTTGGTCTTTCTGTTTATCTGTTTAAATAAGTAGATATTGATTTATTCTTGAAGTTTGTTTGTAACCATAGTTATTTTTTATTTACATTATATGCTTTTCTTAGAGCATTATGGGAATGACCAGGTAAAAATAAATGGTCAGACTAACATTTAATGATCAGAGAATGACCCAATGGGCTGCAGATTTGTCTAGTTATATTTTAATGTATAACACTTTCAGTTTTCAGTGTAGACTGTTAGCACCCACCCTTCTCCTAGAAAAGTCAAATATTCTAGGAAATATTAAAAAGGCAGAATATATACCTCCATGGATGAGAAAAGGAGAAACATGCTCTTGGAAAGCAGCTCCCACCTTTGTTAATAGCCCCAGAGAGACAAAAGACGTCTTATCTACAATACAAAAGATCTTCAACTCAGGGGTGGGATTCAAATTTTTTAACAACTGGTTCTGTGGGCATGGCTTAGTTGGAGGGCATGGCTTGGTGGTCATGTGACTCAGTGAACATGGCTTGGTGGTCATGTTATTGGCTGGGTGTGACCAACTCAATAACACTCGCATCGAGGCACGCATCTCCTCGCCTGGCCACTCATGACTGTGGGGATGCTGCAACAGTCATAAGTGTGAAAAATGGTCATAAGTCATTTTTTTCAGTGCCATTGTAACTTTGAATGGTCACTCCACACAAGCAAAGTACCAGCAAAGGAGGGAAAAAAACCTCCAGAGACGTTCCTGAGACAGGAAGTCTAGTCCTGCTAAGAACGTAATAAGGGTTAATGGAGAGGCAGTTTCTGTAAGCAACACCAGGATGTTTCCTTCCTGCCTTCCTTACAGGATTAGGCCAGTAATTTCTTCTAACAACCGGTTCTCCGAACTGCTTAGAATGTTAACAACCGGTTCTAGCGAATAGGTGCAAACTGGTAGAATCCCAACCCTGCTTCAGCTCCAGGGTAATAGGATTAGCTGTCACTCAGATCCAAACAAGGACAAAGCCATTAAACATAAGAGTAATCCAATCAAGCTTGGGACTCAAGACAAACCTACAAAGTTGCCCCTGCATAGCTCAATCAAGATACCTTTCTTGCCACAGGAACAGGAAGCAAGTTCAAAGCTCAGAAGAGGTTATAAATCTCTCTCCCTCTCTCACCCATGTGCTTTTTTTGCCCAGGATCTCTATCCACCATTAAACCATCTTTCCAAACAGTCACCATGTTTCCAGTGTCTTTCTTCCCACTTGGAACTGAATCCAGATGGACATTTCTTCCAACATCAGTTTTAGCATTCTGAAAATCATGATTCATTTGGAACAGATTTGAGGACCTTTCTGGTCCATTAGAGTCCGCATCAGCACTTACAAAGAGCTACATAATCAAGAGATTAGTTTGAAAGTCTAGAAAACAGAAAGAGTGATCTAGAGGTGGACTAGCCCATCTTTCTCGAATCTGCTGCCTTCCAGAAGTGCTGGAGTTCAATTTCTGCTATTCCTTGTCAACATATCTATGCTGGTTGTAAATCATGGATGCTGTGGCCTGGCACATCTGGAAATCAACAGTTTGGAGAAGATAGAACTAGAGCCAGGGCGCAGAGGCTGAAACCTTCTTTTAATTTTCTAGCTTTGATTCAAGTTGAGAAAAATAGGAGACATTTAACAAATTCTTTCAGTTATACAAAAATGGAGGATACAAACTGACATTGATTTATATACATGTTATAATTCTAAAATTGCACACTGTTTTGTTAAGTTTGGGAAAAGAGAGGCTGAACCAGAGCATGAGTGCAACAATACTTTATTATAGCAATAAAGGACTGACCGTGCTTGCCAAGCCTGGAACTGGCTCGCAACGATCAGCAACTGGTTGGACCCCGCAGCCTGCTTTTATAGCTGGCTGCTGGGGAGAACCAACCAATGAGTGAAGGGGAAGAACGCCCCCGCAAAGCGAATGGACCTGAGTGAGAACTCCTAGAGTTCCCAGGACATAACACCCCTTCCCCCCAGATGCGAACACGCATAGTCTTTGAGGTAGGCAGGAGGTTTATGTTGGCGCCCGGAACGGCACAGCTCTGGAATGCTGTCTGTCCGTTCAGGGTCTGTCTGAGAAGACAGCGCCGGTAAAGTGTCACCAACGTGCCCCTCGGTTCGGGCAGGCCCGGGACTCGTAGGGTTGGTCACTGGGGACGAGCTCCCGTTGACTGGATCAGACTGGTCAGCCGTCTGGACGCCGCTGTCCGTATTCGGGCTTTCTGGAATGGCTGCTGGTGTAAGCTGGTCGCTGGAATCGATGTTGATGTGGGGTTGATGCTGAGGCCTCCCTCCGTTTTGTAAATCTGGGTCCCTGCTAGCGAGGGTGCTGTGACGCCTACGCAGCTGGTCCAGGTGCCTTCTCCAGACACGGCCGTCCTCCAGTCTGACTCGATACGACCTGGGTCCCGTGATGGCCACGATCTCGCCCGGGATCCACAGGGGGTCTCCAGTGAAGTTCCTCATGAATACGGGCTCCTGTAAGATAAAATGTCTAACCCCTGATGTGGAAGCGAGGGGAAAGTCAGGGCAGTATTGTGGGTGCAGTCTGTCCAATACAGTCCTCAGGCGCCTGCCCATCAGGAGCTCAGCTGGGGACTTATTGGTGACTGAGCATGGAGTTGAGTGCTGGGTCATCAGGAAACGCGAGAGTTTGTGGTGCCAATCATCCTTGCTGAACCTAGCCAGGGCTTCTTTAGTGGTCCTGACGGCTCTTTCAGCCAATCCGTTACTGGCAGGATGAAATGGGGGTGTGAAAATGTGGTGGATGCCCAGGTTGGCAGCAAAACGGCTGAACTCGGTTGAAGCGAACTGTGGGCCATTGTCAGAGACAATGGAGTCAGGCAGCCCGTGTGTTACAAACAGGCGAGTTAATACTTTGGTAATTGCTTGTGTGGTGGTCGTGGATAGCTGTGCTACGTCTATCCATTTAGAATAGGAGTCCACGACCACTAGGAACATTTTCCCATGCAATGGGCCAGCCAGGTCGATGTGAATTCTGGACCACGGAGCGCTGGCGCTCTCCCACTTAGTAGGGGTGGCAATAGGAGGAGCTGGACAGGATTCCTGACAGATGTTGCAGGAGCTTACCCATCTGACGATGTCCTCGTCGAGGCCTGGCCACCATACGTAGCTGCGTGCTAATGCCTTCATTCTGACGATGCCAGGGTGTCCCTCGTGCAACGCCTCCAGAACTCGGGTACGCAGTGAGGTCGGGATGACCACTCGAGTGCCCCACAGTAGACAGCCCTGCAAACTGGATAATTCCTGCAGGCGGGTCTTGAAAGGTGTGAATTTATTTTCAACATTACCACCCGGCCACCCCCTCCTCACCCAGTCCAGCACCTGGGCGAGTGTTTTGTCTGCCTTGGTTTTAGCAGCAATGTCAAGGGCAGTGATGGGGAGGTCCAATTGGGTGACCTCAAAAATAGCGTGGACAGGAGCAGGGTCTTCCGCTGGAGCCGGCAAGGGACAGCGGCTGAGAGCGTCAGCGTGGGACAATGTTTTACCTGGGCGGTGTATGAGTCTGTAGGAGTAGGCCGCTAGGAAGAGGGTCCATCTCGTCATTCTAGGAGAAAGGACTTGAGGGGTCTGTTTGTCCCCAGCTAGTAGACCCAGGAGGGGCTTGTGGTCCGTGACCAGCTCAAAAAAGTGGCCAAAGAGAAATTCGTGAAATTTCTTCACTGCTGCAACAGCTGCTAGAGCTTCCTTATCGATCTGGCTGTAATTACGCTCTGTTGCAGAGAGCGTCCTGGAGAAAAAAGCAATGGGAGCCTCGGAGCCATTGGGAAGCCTGTGACTTAATACTGCCCCGATTCCAAAGGGGGATGCGTCTGCTGCCAGCACTAATGGAAGGTTGGGGTCGAACTGAATAAGTACCGCCTCTGACGTGAGTAGTGATTTGACGGCGTGAAAAGCAGAGTCTTCTTTGTGACCCCAGTGCCAAGGTGATTTTTTATCCAATAATCTGTGTAGGGGTTCTGCCACTGATGCTTTATGGGGCAAGAAGGACGCGTAAAAGTTCAATAGCCCCAAGAAGGCCTGTAGTTCAGTTTTGGAGGTTGGAGTGGGTGCCTCGTGAATTGCCTTAACCTTGGACTCCAGGGGGTGAATGCCTGAGGCGTCAATTTTATAACCCAGAAAGTCCACCTGTCTAGTGGCAATGGCACATTTTTCTTTTTTCAATTTGAGGCCATGCTGTCTGAACCTCTCTAACACTGCTCGAACTCTCTGGAAGAGTTGGGGTCTGTCCCTGGCCGAGACTAAGATGTCGTCGAAGTAGGGCACTACACCAGAGAGGCCCTGCAAAATCCGCTCCATGAGGGATTGAAAAATGCCTGGGGCAACACTTACGCCAAATTGGAGACGCTTGCATCGGAAAGCACCCCTGTGAGTGACAATGGTCTGGAGTTCCGCTGTTTGGTTGTCAACAGGGAACTGTTGATACTCTTGAGACATGTCCAATTTGGCAAAAATGCTGCCAGGTTCAAAAGTGTGTAATAAATGCTGAATGACGGGCACTGGGTAAGCGCTAACTTGTAGAAACTTATTGATTGTGGTCTTGTAGTCCGAGCAAATTCTCAGGCTACCGTCTTTTTTGAGGGGTGTGACAATGGGCGTCTCCCATTTGGCGAAATCTGTTGGCTCAATGACCCCTTGTTTTAACAGTTTATCCAATTCCGCATCTAGTTTTGGTCGAATAGCGAATGGGACCCTACGCGGTTTTAGCCTGATTGGGACTGCCTGGGGGTCGACTGAGAATGAGATAGGGGTACCGTTATAACACCCCAGCTCATCGCTGAATACATCTGAGTAATCAGCGAATAAGGAGTCAGTGTCAGAGGTTGAGACAGCATGGACTCCTGTTAGCCCTAGGCCGAGATGGGGAAACCAATCGAGCCCCAATAATGTGGGGAGATTGCCGTTAACTACCACTAGAGGTAGGTGACCTTTAAAAGCTTTAAAATTGACAAGGAACTTGCCTCTGCCGATTACGGGAATGATTCTTCCCTGGTAGTCCTTCAGGCTGAACTGGCACTTCTGGAGCCGGCTAGTTGATAGGCTGGGCTGAAGCCTCTTGAGGGTGTTCCACGAGATAATTGAGAGCGCTGACCCTGTGTCAACCTCCATGCGGCACGGTTTACCTTCTAACAAAACGGAGAGAGAGATTTTACTAACAGTATGGCAAGTGTGCTTGGCATGGTGGTGAGTGCGACAGTTCAATACTTGCCTCTGCGGTCCAGAGTGAGAGAAGGGGGGGTGCCTTTGTGCTGAGTTTTGAGAGGCTTGGCAGACTCTCGCGATGTGCCCCCTTTTATGGCAGGTATTGCAGGTGGCTCCTTTGAATCTGCAGGTAGCCCTTGGATGAGGTCCACCACAGGCTAGGCACAGTGTGATGTGCTTGGGTGGACCGATGTTTTCTTGCTTGGCTCCTACCTGCGGGTGTCTGGCGGTGGAGAGGCGGTGGACGTCGTTATCATCACTAAGAGCTTCCTCTGCTACTACCTCCTCGGAGTGGACTGGAACTGTCGTTAGCTTGGAAGTCGGGCCATGGATTTCGGTGGCTGAGTGTGCTGCCAGTTCTGCTGCCAAGGCCTCCTCGACGGCTTGTGCGAGGTTGAGGTCCTTTTTAGCGAGAAGGCGCCTCTGAAGGTGGAGGTCCTTGACCCCGCAGACTAGTTGATCGAGGAGCATGTCCTCCAGGTAGGTTCCAAACCCACAATGCAGTGCTGCTGTTCTGAGGGCGGCCATGTACTGATTGATGGTCTCCTTGTCTGATTGCTTCCTCATACGGAAGGTGAATCGCCTGGCAATCTGTGAAGGCCTGGGAGAATAGTGGTTAGTGAGGATTTCAAGCAGTTCAGACCAAGGAACGTTTTTCAACTCACGTGGAGCCACGAGGGCTGTGGCAGTATCGAAGACGATGGCTCCACAGTAGATCAGGAAATACGATTTTTTCCGATGCTCCCCAGCATCCGCCAGCCCAATTGCATCGATATAATGGTTAAAGCGGTTCTTGTATGATTCCCACTTCTCCTCATCCGGTTTGAATGCTGGGAAGGCTGGATTGGAATTCATGGTGATGAAACCGGTAGAACAACCTGTGGACAAAATCTCTCTGGGGCAGCAGCAAAAGGTTCTAGTGCCTGTGGCAGGCAAGTGATTTCAGCTCTGGAGAGGCTTTTCACAATCCTCTCTCTCTCTCTGGGTTAGCACACGGGATGGCTGTCAGCCGTTGGCAGCGTTTGAATTCGTGCCTGTGTGGGCGTCAGTGACTTAACTACAGCACCGCGCTGTACCTTTTAGGTTTGAAATTCAAATGACAGCCGTTTGAATTTCGCGCCTAAACAAACGAGCGGCTGTGGCTCGCAGCGCTTCACTTTCCCTGTAGCTGGGCTAACAAGCGGCTACAGACGCTTCTCACTTTCGATTCTGACCGCTCTCTCTGGCTGCGGATCAGCGTTCGCTTCTAGTGCTTGCTGACTGCTTTCTCTGTCAGCGGATCAGCGTTTGCTCTTGCTGCTTGCTGACCGCTCTATCTGGCTGTGGATCAGCGTTGCTCTTATCGCCGTCCGATCGCTCTCTCTGGCTGCGGATCGGTGGCTAGTGACTCAGCGGTTGCATGGTGCTTCTGGTAGCCATCCCATCCTCGTCGCCAGTGTTAAGTTTGGGAAAAGAGAGGCTGAACCAGAGCATGAGTGCAGCAATACTTTATTATAGC